AAAGTGCCAATAGCGAGCAGTGCCTTCCCACAGTATCTGCTGCCTGTTGGATTCACTTGGTAAACCCAGAGACATGTCAAGCTCATCTGTCACCAGACTACCCTGTTCATTGCACCAACTGTTTTAAAATGTACCCAAGATTTGCTTTGAGCACATTAAGATAACAGACATAAGAGGCAATCACCTTTCAAAGGAGAGTTTCTCACAGTTCCCCAGAGGGCAGAAGGACCCAGCAAGCCACATGGTAACTTGTAGGGAGAAGCAGAGAGAGGGATAAAGTAGAATTAGGACCTTTATTACTACAGCAGTGTGAAGTAGCCATGAGAGGACATCACCTACTAGGCAAGAAGCAAAACAAATTAAAGTTAGTGAGTACATGGAGAGTTTAGAATAAGGTTATTACATGCACAAGAGAACACTGGGATGATGGAGATGAAAAAACGTTGGGCCACTAGAATGGCTCAGTGACTTCAGGATGCCAAATCATAAATTACAGAATATCAAAAATAGTTATTAAGTGATCACAGCCTACTACTCATAAACCTCTCAGGCCAAATACTCCCCTAGGCTGAAAGATCCTACCAGCCATACATGCCTTGGTCTACTCCTCCCTTAACCTGTCTGTACCCTCTACCTTATACCTCTTACTGAATACTTTTCCAGGCTCTCTGAATCCTCCACTTACACAGGTCTTACATGTTGCTCACCTAAAATGGCTATTTTACCCATGCACCTCTTGTCCAGTCCTGCCATAGACTACATGCTACCTCTTTCCATGCACCATCTTCAATGTCTGGCCCTAAGGTTCATCTACCATTTAGGCTCTACTAAATCCATCCTTAGAGTACTCCTTCATCCTTTGCACTTCCTGTTAAGCCTCACCCAAGGTTATATCCACCTACCACTCAAGGACTTCTTGCAGGGTTGTCCCCTACGTTGGCTACACCCACCACGGCAGTACCTGTTGTTGCATACTGCACTAGGCTGGTTTCCCCCTACCAACGCATAGCCTAGAAGTCTTCCTCTAGGCTAGATGCTCCCTTTAACCATGCACAGCCTTTTAGGTCCCAGCACAAAGTGGATGTTTCCTCCATTCATCCAATTCCTGCTCAATCCTCCTAGAGGCTGGGTTCTCCCTCTTGCCATACACCTTTTAATTGATCAGGCTCTACGATGGCTGCACCTTCCACACACACACGACCTTCTGATACATGCCCTATAGTTGCTGTATCCTACACTAATGAACTTCCTGAGAATTCTTCACCTAACCTCATGCATCGGGCACCCATGCACTTCCAGCTACATTCTCAACTAGGTTTACTATACCTCCACCAATGCACCCTGTGCCAAGTCCTTTCTTCAGGTAAAAAGTTCTTGATTAAATGTTAGCAGATAACTGATTTTCTATCAAAATACACAAGTAGGACTAGAAAACCCATCTGCTGTCCAGATTACACCTGTGAGCTGCCTCTCTATAATTTATGGTTTAGAAATGAAGTACTGATGTTCATGGAAGGATTCATCTTTCTAACACCCTTCAAACACCTCTGTTCGCAAAGGTTGTTGTCAGTAAGAGGCCAGCCTAGTGTCCAGGCCTTGTGCTCATGCCAACACCAAGCCCACATTACCGACCCAGGATCCTGTCAAGTTCAACTCTTGGACTAATCTCTTCTGACACATTAATATTTTCCCCTGTACTGATCTGTGTCTAACCCTAGCCTGCTTTGGATCACAGATCTGGTTTGGCAGCCACACCCTCCCCAGACCATCCCTATTCACTCCACTTTTAATTTTTTTAATATACTTTTTAAAGATTTTATTTATTTATTCATGAGAGACAAAGAGAGAGAGAGAGAGAGAGGCAGGACACAGGCAGAGGCAGCAGGCTTCATTCAGGGAGCCCCATGTGGGACTTGATCCCGGGATGACAGGATCATGCCCTGGGCCAAAGGCAGTGCTAAACTGCTGAGCCACTGGTGCTGCCCCAGTTTTAATTTTTGACTCACAATAGGGCACTTGTCATCAATAGTGTCCCCTGTCTCAGGCCCAAGCTACAGCTAATCATTCCTCACTATCACCTACCTCCCAATTTTTGAAATGCACAAAATGCATAAACATCTATGGCTCATTCATTCCCAAGGGTAGGGACTCTCACTCTCTGCCCACCCTCCTCCCCTGAGGGTGGGATTCCTGTCCCCAGATAAGAGGGGGATTCAGAAAGGTGCTGCATATACACCCATGCTATGTTGGCACAGACCCTATGTTTTGTGTGAAACCCACAAGCACAGGTGAACGACTGTTTACAAATGGGAGGGCAGCAATGCCCTGTTTGATTCTCCCATGACCCCGTGGCTGCAGAGGGCTCATGAGGTCATTAAGTCTCAAACTCCAAACTCCACCTAGGACCTCGGATAGTCTGAGGAGCCCAGGCAGCCTGGCTCCTCGCAAATGTCACAGTGACCATCAGTGTCAACTCCTGCATGGACTGTAAGGGGACCACCTGACCACATAGTTCTGCTAAGCCAACATAATTTATCAACCTACTCTCACATCTCTGGCCTTTAATGAATTTCTCCTTAGCTGCGCCTTCTGGTGAAGTACCCAGGAGATTATTTTGCACTAAAACAAGCCACTGCCATAGCCAAAATCAATAGCTTATAAAAATCAGCCACTTAACCAACATATCAACATCATAGCATAATGACTGATTCCCTGGCATTACCCACCCCAGAGGCACTCGCTGTTGGCTGAAGGACACTGGAATATGAGACACCATGCCCTGGACACAGAGATGCTCTGCTTCAGGGATGGGGTAGCAATGTTGGTGCTTCCTGTGACCAGGTGAAGGACAATCTCACCTGCAGCTGCTGAGGAGAGGCCTGCTTGATCCTCAGATGAACAGAAGAGTAACAGTTAGACTTGGCAGAGGCAAGAAGGGCCTCCAGGCTCTCTAACAAATCACAACTATGTGGGGTGGACATCTTGACAGTGAGGTTTCTGGAAATATTCGGTTGAATGGCATTAGGGGAGCAAGAAAAGTTTCTTTTATACAGGCCCATATTTATTTATACAGGCCCATATTCCAATGAGCTCTAAACACAACCCTGGCCCTATTATTGTCAGGACCCTCCTGTGAAGGAGGCAAAGGCACAGAGAGCTCCACACTTTGAAAGATAATAGGAGGCAGAAAGAGGGGGAGTCACCATGCAGAGGGGAGGAGAGACACCAGACTGAGACCTACCATGTTCCCAGGCATACTTCTGGCTTCTTCCTCTATTAGGGCACTCCTCTGTGTCTCCACAGGACTCAGCAGGCTGTGGTTTCACAGCCAGTGGCCCAAGCACCCAGGAGTCATGGGAAAACCAGGTGCAGGAGCACTTGGGGAACTACATGTAAGCAGCTCGTCTACCAAAATGGAGAGAGACACACAGCTATTCGTTAAGGGCACGCACTGTGTTATGTAGCAGTTTACAGGCACACATTAACTTTATGTTTTTCCAAAAATCCAATGATGGAGGAATTCTTATTATCCCCATTTCACACATTAGGAAAGTGTTGCTCAGACAGAATAGAGGACTGTCCAGGATCACAAGGCCAGAAAGTGGTGAACTGGGATGGCCAACCCAGCTCCTCTGACCCCATTGTTGAAGGTGCCTGGGCAACCTCTGAACAGCCCTCTATGACACACCAAGGGGAAACAGAAGGGGGGCCCTGAGCATTCGATGAACAAGAGAAAATGTTAAATGCTGACAGTCACAGGAAGAGAACAGGCTGCAAGGACACTTGACGTGACACTATTTTTAACCTAAAACACACAAGACACTTTATAAGAATTACATGTACTTGTGAGTCTCCCACTTGGGACAGAACTTACAGAAAACATATTTACATCTCTCCAAATGTGCATTCAGACACTGATAAGTCTAGATCGCTCCATCAAATATATGACCATAGAGAGGTTAGGTGTTTCTTCTGAGAATGAGGCTAATGTGCTTTTGATGGAGTGTATTTAGAAATAAATCTACCACACATATGAGTGGCACATGAATGGCTCAGTTGGTTTAGTATCGGACTCTTGATTTTGACTCCAGTCATGATCTCAAGGTTGTGAGATCACACCTCGAGTCAGATTCCACATGGAGCCTAAGATTCTCTCCCTCTCCTCCTCCCTCCTCTTCCTCTCAAATCAATCAATCAATTATTAATAACCACTAAGAATTTCTAGGATTGCAAGTCTTAGGCCAGATAATACCTTTGATGTTACTAATGAACATACCAGTGTCCACAGGAGAGGACACAAGGACATACTCCACAAAATGTTATCACAGCACTAATATTATCGTCTTAGGTCCCTTTTTGGAATGAGGCAGGGTATCAGTGAATGAAATCAATCTGAGCACCGTTCCACTCTGTATACCTCTTCATGGGTTCCCCATCGCCCCTCAATCTTCACGTAAAGTTCATGCCGTCAAGTTCACGTCAACTGCTCTGCCACCCTCTCCATACACCCACACTGCCATCACCTCCTGACTTCTACACGTTCCCTTCTCATGAATAAAGCTCCTGGCACCTCAGTCACGAGCTTCGGGACCTCCCCAGTTACCACCATGGTTCTGGGAACTCAACATGCCTGGGAAGCCCCCCACCCGCTGCCAACCTCTCAGCCCGCAGGCCTTGACTTGCTCAGAGACCAGGAGGAAATCTCTCCTCTGCAGCCAGCTACTCCCCCCAGGGCCTTTCGCCCCAAGCAGTCCCCAGAGAAACGCCTCCCTGAAACCCTGGACTGCAGCCTCCCACACTGATCACCCCTTCCGCCCTCCGCTCCCCACGGGAGATCTCCTCCTGGGTGTCTCACACACCCCGCCGACTCGGAAGGACAGAAACTAGTCAGAGGCATGGCCCTGGGCTTCAACCCTTTAATGGCTGGGGCCCCCAGAGAAGTAGGCCCTCCTCATCTGCGTGCTGCTCCGGCGACTAGACAAGGCTGTCGGCTCTGGTGACTAGATGCGGCTGTCGGCTCCGGTGCCCGGGCCTGACAACTTCCTGACCTGGGCCATCCCATCCCCCCGGGAGTAGGTGTTCTCCTCAAAGAGTTGGCTCAGGTACTGGTTGTTGCCCAGGGCCTTCTGCAGGTGCTCGGGGGTGATGCACGTCTTGTGGCTGTTGCAGGCCTCCTGGCCCGCGAGTTCCAAGATGTTGGATGTCAGGTACTCGAGGATGCCGGCCAGAAACACAGGTGTGGACGAGCTTAAGCGGTGGACATAGTGACCCTCGCGCAGGAGGCGGTCCACGCGGCTGATGGGGAACTGCAGCTCGGCTCTTCTGGAGCGGGACAGGCCATGCCTCCTCCGTCTACGGGAATGCCCGTGGCCTCTTTCTCCAGACATGTTGGTGGCTGCGTTTGGTCCTGATCAGCCCAGCCCAACAATCCCACTGGCCTTGGTCCGTCAGGATACCAGTGCTCACTCCTGCTTATTATGGGCCGCACTGGTCAGTGACTGGAGGCCACTGGGAGTCAGCTTTATGACAACTCACATTGTGATGTCATCGGGTCACTGGGGCCTCATCATGATTGCCTTGGAAACGTCTAGGACAGAAACCTGGCCTCCCTGTTGAAACTCTGTATGAGGGAACGTTAATGTTCTACTTGACTATAGTATTCTAGCAAAACATATGTTTCAGAGAAAAATTTTTCCTTGGCTATAGGACACCACTTGAAGTATTCTAACCTTATGTTGTCTTTGAGCTCTTTTCTATCCTTTTTTATTTTTAATTTTTCAAGATTTTATTTATTTATTCATGAGGGACACACAAAGAAAGGTAGCAATACAGGCAGAGGGAGAAGCAGGCTCCATACAGGGTGCCTGATGTGGGACTCGATCCTGGATCCCAGAATCACACCCTGAGCAGAAGGCAGACGCCTAACCGCTGAGCCACCCAGGCGTCCCTCTATCCCTTTTTAAATTGTAGGTCACTGACAAATATGTACAACCTTCAATGCAGGCTCAATTGATCCCCCTATCATGCAGTGGGTAAAACAATTTTGCTTCCTTTTACATATTCATCTCAGTATTCCGAATTAATATTCCTGGTTCCATTCTTTGGATTCTCTTGTAAACTAGTTAACAATATCTGCGAATTTGCTCATATGATAAAATGTTTTTACCATGTGTTCATATCTGTATGAGTGCCATGATTTTATATTTCTTTAATAATTATCCTTATTTTTGAAGAAAACATCCATATGTCTAATTGTTTCATCTACCAGAGCCATCTACCTCAATAATAGAAAAGTGGCCCATATGAACACCTAAAGCCCAGATGTCTTTTCTTAGCTCTTTGAAGTGACTCCAATGTATCAATTAGTACACTGTTAACGCTTTATAATTTATTTTTCTCTCTACTTCCTTACTGTTTCTGTTTTGGTTTTGGCTCATTTTGAGTCAGTATGTTTTTCCCTGCTATTGAAAGCCATGGTTGGGAATTTGGGTTTTGGTTTTCTTTTCGTTTTATTCTCTTAGTAAGGTAAAGTCCACATAACATAAAATTCACCATTTTTGCCATTTTTAAGTGTACAATTCAATGTTTCTTTAATACATTTGCAATGCTGTGACACTCTGACTTCTGATTCCAGAACAGTTACATCACCCCCAGAAGAAACTCCATACCCATTAAAGCTTTAACTCTTTATTCTTCCCTCCCCACAAACCCCTGGCAGACAATCTACTTTCTGCCTATATAGGTTTGCCTACTCCAGACATTTATATAAATTGACTCATGTGAAACATTTTGTACCTGGCTTCTTTCTCTTAGCATGTTTTCAAGGTTTGTCCATATTATAGCATGTGTCATTACTTAATGTATTTTTATGGCTGTAAAATAATCCATTGTAAACATATATCACATTCTGTTTATCCATTTATCAGTTGATAGACATCTGGGCTGTTTCCAACATTTTGGCTATTATAAATCCTGCTGATACAAGCATTTGGGTACAAGATTTTGTGTTAACATATGGCTTCAATTTTCTTGCGTATATACCTAAAAGTACAATTGCTGGTCATGTGGTGAGAATTTGTATTTATGGTCTGACCATCTGGAGATCTTTCTAAATTGATTGATTGTTCATAGAGATCTGGTCCCCGCTGGGTGAGAGACAACAGAGAATCTAGTTTGTCGGTCTTTTTGTTTGTCTATTTTTAGCGCATATCAATGCAGAATTTCATGCCCTCCAGAAAGAGAACATCTACTTGATATCTGTGCCAGGAGTGTTTACTGTTTCTGTGTTAATGCTAGACCCAAGGATGAAATTGTAGAATTGAGGCTATAAACTGTTTTTGTCTGTGCCTGTACATCTATGTGTCTGTAATTCAGAAATGCCTTCTTCTGATTTTGTGAGTATATAGTTTTCCTAACCTCGACTTGGTACTAACACATTAGATTATAAATTCTCAGAAATTAAAGGGGCTCTGTTCTGATTGGCATGTCTAGATAAAAAAATGCTTACATAAATCGAATATTCTAAAATACCCTGAAAATCATGAAACTAAATTTCTGACCCTTTAAATAAGCTTGATTAAAAAAAAAAAAAAAAAAAAACAGATTCTCACAAAAAAAATCAGATTTCAGGAACTTAAATTCACAGTGAAATAAGTCAGTCAGAGAAAGACAAATAAATGATTATATTCATGTGGAATTTAAAAACAAAATAAATGAGCAAGGGGAAGAGAGAGAAAGAGAAGCCAAGAAATAGACTCTTGAGAACATATTGGTGTTCACCAGAGGGGAGACTGGGGAACGGGAGAAACAGGAGATGGGGATTTAGGAGGGCAGGTGTGATGAGCACCAGGTGATGTATGTTAGTGTTGAATCACTATACTGTATATCTGTAACTAATATGACACTGTATATTACCTATACTGAAATTAAAATATTTGTTAAAAGAATTTAAACTCATAATTTAAATATTTGGTTTAAAGGATTAATATTTAGTTTTTAATAAAAACAGCTATGTCTTCTCTATCAGTATCAAGTTTAATATGAAACCATTTTTCTTCTTGGGTATATTTTTCCTAAACTTATATAGGTTTACTGATTAAGGATAGTAGCAACGGGCACCTGGGTGGCTTAATGGTTGAGCCCTTTGGCTCAAGTCGTGATTCCAGGGTTCAGGGATCGAGTCTCACATCGAGATCCCCTTGGGGAGCCTGCTTCTCCCTCTGCCTATGTCTCTGTCTCTCTCTGTGTCTCTTATGAATAAATAACAGCTTTAAAAAAAGAAAGATAGTAGCATTAATTCTAGTTATTAACATTATAAAAATATAAATTTATATTTAATGAAATTCAAACATTACTCAACCATCTTTTATTGTCAGTTATTAAGGTTGTGTAGCTTGAAGAAAGTTCGAGACGAGATAATATAAAAAGAAACATAAATCTGTGTTAAAATTTTGCCAAAACTGTTCCCATTTTGATGGTCTTATTCATATTATTATAAAAATAAACTTGTGGTTCTTTTAGAATCAAATATTACAGTAATGCAAACTTAGAATTCAATTTTCTCTCTGGAAAAATAATGTTTCCTTAGAGGATTTCTCTGTTCTTAGTAAAAGGTCATGAAAGTTCACTCTTCATCCCATATGGTAATTTGTTTAAATAAACATTTCACATCTCACCAAAATAACATTGTATATTTTATTTCTAATTTATATGTCATTCTCCTTAAAATAAACAAATACCCTGAGCAGCCCAGGTGGCTCAGTGGTTTAGCGCCGCCTTCAGTGCAGGGCCTGATCCTGGAGACCCAGGATGGAGTGCAACATTAGGCTCCCTGCATGGAGCCCGTTTCTCCCTCTGCCTGTGTCTCTGCCTCTCACCGTCTCTCTCAGTGTCTTTAATGAATAAAAAAATAAAATCTTAAAAAAAAATTAAAATAGACACCCTACATATCTATACATGCTAAGGATTTTTGTTTTATTTATTTATTTTTTAGGATTTTTGTTTTAAATATTGTGTTTATTAAATATTGTATTGTCACTTTTATTAATAGGTAGCTTTGCTACAATCATTCATATGCACCCAACTCCTCAAGGCTGGCTTCCCTCTTTATTCATGCACTTCCTGATGAACTCTTCCTTAGATGGGGTACTTCCTTCATTCTTGATGTTCTTGGTAGATTCTTCTCTAGACTGAAGATCACTCATGCACCTCTTGCCATTCCATCTATGCACTCTCTACCTAGTCATCCACGAGGCTGTCATCACACATCACCTCCTTCCAGATCCGTCACACATCACCTTCATCCAGAATTCATTCTGGACATGTAAATTAGAAAGGCTGGAAGTCCAATATCATGGCACAGACATGGTCAGAGGAGGGCCCTTTTCTGGGTCACAGACATCTCACTGGATGCTCACAAGGCAGATCCCTCTGGATCCCTCTCCAATGATCCCTCTGGAGCCCCATTTGACGACACTAATTCCAATCATGAGGGCTCCACCCTCATGGCTTAAACACCTTAAAGAGCTCCTAAAGGCCCCACCTACTAATACCACATTGGACATTAGGTTTTCAAGATGCAAATTTAAGAGAACATAAACATTCAGACCATAGCATCTTCCCTTAGTCTGAATGTATTCAACCCCAGGAACCTCCTGCTGGATCTTCTCCAAGAAAAGATATTCCCTCTTTGAATTTCTCTATCACTGTGCAGTCTACAATCTTGACTGCTCTCTCCACCTAAGTCCTCTATTCCAGATATATCCTAGGCTGGCTATATTCACCATGCACTTTCTTCAATATCCATTGTGTGAAGAAGTTGATTGAGCTCTCCTCTTAAGTACTTCCTGCTGGTCCTACCCTAATCTGGTCACATACTCCACCTCCTGCCATGTCCTTTCCAAAGCAGTATGATCTCTATACCCATATACCTCCTGCCAAGTGTAACCCTAGACGGGCTGCATCCCATGCCAATACACCTCCACCATATGCTTCCCTATGAGGGCTGTAACTTCCATTCATGTACCACTTCCAATAACCTCTCCCATGTTGGATGTTCCTTCCTTCTAGGAATATCCTGCCAAATCCTCTCCTAGGCTGGCTGCACATTCCACCAATATACTTCCTGAAATATCCTTTCCTGGACTGGATTCTCTATGTATTCATGTACTTCCTATTCTAACCTCCATTAGCCTGACTGCAGTCTCTATCCATACACCAATTTTAGAGTCTTCCCATAGGCTGCAAACTCTTCTAGAAATGAACATCCATTTTTAGACTGGCTGCATCTTCTAGTTATGCACTTCCCACTGAATCCTAATTTAGGCAGAGTGATTTCCATACCCATGCTTCTCCTCCTGCAGTCCTAGGCAGGATGCTCCTCCTTCTC